AACCGAGAAGTAAATAAATAGAAGTTCGCGCGGTGCATGCCGGGACGCAAAAGACGGGAGGGTCGGGGCGGCGCGGGGCATGCCGGGATCGGAGAGGAGGCTGGCGCGGGGCACGCCGGGACCAGGGCGGGCTGTGGTTCAGGGGCCCCTGTGCAGGGCTTCAGGCTCGTTCTCCTCGGCGGCCGTTGGGCTCGAGGCGGCGGCGGCGGCGGCGGCTGCTTCTTCTGCCCGGCGGGGATGGCGGACGCGGCAGCCTCCCCGGTGGGGAAGCGACTCCTGCTGTTGCTGGTGGCCGGGCCGGGCGAGAGTGAGGGGCCGGAGCCAGGGCCTGGGCCTGGGCCAGGGCCTGGGCCTGGGCCTGGGCTCCCCTCCCGGGCTTGGAGAAGCGGCACGGTCAGGGCCATGAGCGGGGCTGTGCCCCAGGAGTTAGCGGTGAGTCTGGGAGGGAAGGAAGGAGGCCTACTGGCGGCCTTTCTCTCTGTGTGTATTATTCGCCAGGGCTGGGGGAGGGCGAGCTGCTTCTACTGAGACTCCAGAGGAGGAGGAGGAGGAGGAGGGGGGGGTTCTCCGCTTCCCTCCTTTGGCTCACAGAAGTCGGCCTCCCCTCCTCCTCCTGCTCTTCCCTCTGGTCTTTATCGCGTGGCGGCAGTCGCTGCTGGAGGCTCTCTTGTTGCGGGTGATCTCGGGTTCCAGGCGCCGCATTTTGGCAACCTTCGTGCCTTCCGTCGCAAAACCGTCCCTTTTGTCCGTTTGCCTCCGGAAACAGGTGGGGAAGGAGAGGGGCGAGGAGGAGGAGCTGCTCCCCGCCGTCGTTTAGGGTAGATAGTTATTGGAAAAGATGGAACCCTCGCTCCAAACCATGGAATCTTATGTGTAAGGAGATCTTGCAGCACCTCTGAGGCTCACTGAAAGAAAGAAGTTGGCAGCATGAGCTTCCCAAGACTAAAGTCTCCTTCCTCCAAAATGCATATGGAGTCTTACAGAAGGCCCCACACTCCAGGCTGGGACTTCCCATAAGATTTCGTGTTCTGGAGCACGGGTTTCATTTCTTAGGATTACGGTGGCCTTTAATGGTGGTTCCTTGGTGGGAGAGACTTCCTCTTAATACGCGTGGCTTCTAGCAGAGTTATGGAAACGCGGTTTTATAAGCCTGTGTTTTTGGGTTATTTAGAAGATGTCATCTAAACTTCCTGGTCTGCTCTGTAGTGCAAGGGGGGGGGAGGGAAATACTGCTTCCTGAACATTTTCATGGTGTGCTGTGTATTGGGAAGTGCAACTGGGGTGGTGGTGGTGGTGGTGGTTGCAGACTGCCAGAAATAGTGCAAATTGAGTCCACTTTAAGGGTTAGGGCTAGTGCTAGGGAATCATGGGAATTGTTTTTTTCCTGAGACATTGAGCCTTCTCTGTCAGAGAGCTCTGGTGCCACAATAAAATACAGTTCCCATGATTCCCTAACCCTACAAGTGGACTCAATTTGCACTATTTCTGGCAGTCTGCAACCCCCCTGTGTAACCATAATAAAGATGTGTGTGGGGGGGGTCTCTGTTCATTCTGGGTTGTTTTTCCCATGTATTAAATGGAATATGTATTTTCAGTTGAAGGAAGGGTGAATATTGGGTGTCCTTTCAGTGTTACCATTCTGATCAGTACAACAGAGCAGTCATTGCATGTGTAACACATACACTACTTAGTTCCTGCTTTTGAATTTACTGCACTGGGAAGTACTGTATGCTAAGAGCATATTTGGAAATCTGTAAAACACAGTTTAGTGGGTGGTCTTACTAGTCTTAATAGTCACAAAAACGTGCTTGATGTTTCCGAGAAATTCAATATAAGGCAGTAACTGGGTCTCAATCCCTAATGCTGACCTACATTCTTGATCATAATTACCTGCAAATGATGCCTATTTCCCAAAAGGAAAACAGAGAAGACAAAGAGCAGGGGCTGGATAAGTAACTTGTTCAAGAAACTGACTGTAAGTAGAGATTGCGTGCAAGTCCTAAAGGCTAAATCCCTTTTTTTATATTACCAAGAGAACCAGTAGTGCTTAGAAAACTCTGCACACCCTTCCAAACCTCCACATGCTCAAATCCAGGCAACACATAATTCTCTCCAAAAGGAATAAGGCAAAACCCAATTCTCCAAATTAAAAACAAGATGCCCCTTACTGCTTTCACTTCCCCCAAACTTAATTTCCCCTCCTTTTTGAAATAGACATTTTCAGCAAAACACAGGCTTCAGTTGCTTTTCTCTCTTCTTTACCTTTCTTATGGAAAGGTATCTGGGGAAGGGGAGAAAATTATGGCTGGGTATCTGGAAGCTGATGCTTCCCCACAAAAAAAAGTAAAATAAACATTTTTTTAAAAAAATACAAAAATTAAACGAGGGGCAAGAGGCCTTCACGACAGAGATAGATCTTGGGGGGATGTGTGGTGTGTGGGCACTGTGTTGGAGACTTTGATTGCATATAGACTAAAAACTGGATTGGAAATGTACAGGAAACAAATAAATGCAACTGATCATGGAGTATAGAAGAGCTGAGGAGGAGGAAGTAGCGTCTTACAGCTTGCTTGGGCTGATGCTTTTCCATATGTTATTCTGAGAGAAGAATTTTGTGGTAGCTTAAATATGCAACCTACATGCAGACCAAGTTAGTTTAGAAATTATACAGGTATACCTCAGTTAACAAAGTAGATGTGTTCCTGGACATTACTTCTTTAACAGAAACTTTGTTACCAGAGACAATAAAGTTTGACTAGACCAGGGACCGGCAACCTACGGCCCGCGGCGTAGGGCAACCTACGGCCCGCGGAAGGTTGCCGCGGCGGCAGTGCGTTTTGGTCACTGTGTGGCCGTGGGCGGCACGGCCGCCATTTTGATTTTCAAAATGGCAGCCATGACGCGTTTGCGCATGCGCAGGAGTACTGCACATGCGCAAATGAGTCACGGCTGCCATTTTGGAAATCAAAATGGTGCCGCACGCGGAGGCGGCTACGCTGCGGCAGTGCGCGGGGGTTGTGCACGGCGGGGGGTTCGCGCACGTGCGCGCCGCCATCCCCCCCCCCAGCCCAGCGGCGGAGGGGACTTCACATGACCAGCCCTCGGCTCCAAAAGGTTGCCTACCCCTGGACTAGAGTGCATATTAAGATTGGCCAGATTCTGTAGCTGTGTGTGCCTGTCCAAAGTAGGCAAAGTAAACAGCTTCCTCCAGAATCCCTTACTAAGCATGCATGACATAAAAAAGATGGGGAACAGATAAGCCTGTCTTGCCAGCTCTGTATTCTGTATTTTTTTTTAACAAAGCATAATCTAAGTTTAGCCACCAAAATGGGAATCATAAGAAAAGTGGAGACTATTGAAAGAAAAAAAATCACCCAAGATGCATTTTGGAAGAAGCCTTCAAGTGGTCTCTACAAGATTAAAAATATTTTTGTTTACTTATGCAAGGCTTTCTTGACCTGGTTGCTTCATATCATATGTATATAATGTTACTGTTGAATAAGAAGTTTACTGAAACATGTTAAGTTGCTGTTTGTTTTTGTGGTGTTGGAACCCATCTCTTTCTACTTCTGGTACTAATGTTTCTCTTAAAACAGGAACATATCTGCTTTGTTATCTGAGTTATATATGTAATTACACAAGATAGATATTGGAAGGTAGTGAAAACAGTTCTGAAAAGTATCAGTTGAAGATGTTTGAACTTTCTGTTATAGATTAGGCAAGTCTGAATTGAAAAAAGCTCATGAGGTTTGTGCTCATATCTATGTTGACTGTTACTAGTCCAAAAGAATGACTATATCTGGTGAGAAATGGTGCTTCCCGGAACCTCCTTATACCCGGCGTATAAGACGATCCCCCCACTTTAACCCCAGATTTTGCAGGTTCAAAAGTAGTCTTATACGCCAGAAAATAAGGTACCCACTATAAAACTTTCTGTTTTAACTGCATAATGCTGAACTCCAGTGAGAGATAACCATCTTCTGGGTACTTTGTTGGTGTTTGTGATTTATAAGCCTGTCCTACTCTTGAGCTCTGATGCTGATCATTGATACTGATAGGCAGTAAATTTAGGACAGAGTTTACTTTTCTTCCCTTGTTCATAAACTAGCTTTTAGACTTTGGCCTGCTGCTTTCAGAAGACAGAGTGAGGCTAGAGCAACCATTCAATTTGTCTCAGTGTGCCAGTTCGTGTTGATGCCACTTTGTACTAGTCCTAACTAGTAAACAGAAGCCTAAAATTTGTATGCTTATGACTAGCTTTTCTATTCCCTTTGCCTGTCCTGTTATGAACGAAACAATAGATCTTGTTTGGAGAAAATATAGCATATATTTTGCTATTATAGTAATGGTAACAATCTATTCTATCAGATGATCATAAATATTGGCTAAAAATAATTATGGTGGAGTTTTAAAATAATTTTAAGGGTTTTTATTTAGTATTTTAGTATCTTTAGTATTTAATATGTATAGTAATATAGCATCTTTACTCTTTAGGGCTTTTGGATTAGTATTTTAACATTTAATAAGTGTATTTTGAAGAGATAGTACGTGAACTAGTGGAAATTTCAGCATTTTGAGGTATTACTGTTATATGGAAGGGGGAACTAGTGCTTTGTCTTTATTTATTTTTTAACCATGTTTATCCTGCTTCTCACCAAAATATTTTTTTTACATCTTACATACAATCAATAAAAGAGAGCCTATGTCAGCAGACTTACAATGGAGAAAGCCATGGCAAGGGGGAAAGGATGGGGAGGAAAATGCTGGGAAGACAAGTACTGTATTCTTTCAACAGGGCTGGTGGAGTGGCCCTGCTTCCTACCTCATCTCCCTTTGTTTTGGCATTCTAGATTGGCTGCTGGTGGTGACAGTTGAGAGAGGACCCTTTTGGGAACTGTTTTTTCTGCAATGATGGTGGGATGATCAGTGGTTTTCTGGTCTAGGAGCCTCCTCGAGTTTTACTGGAGTGCTGCACAGTAATGAAGAAACTAGTTCTTAGAGCCAGTGTGGTGTAATGGTTTGAGTGTTAGACTATGATTCTGGAGATCAGAATTCGACTCCCAGCTCAGCCATGAAACCCACTAGGTGACCTTGGGCACATCACATACTCTCAGCCTCGGGAAGGAAACAGCAAACCTCTGAACAAATCTTGTCAAGAAAACCCATGATAAGGGTTGCCTTAGGATCACCATAAATCGAAAGGCCTTGGGGGCACACAACAAACAAATCAGATGTAGATAAATCATGACCATTGCAATACATTGCCCTAATTTTGTTGATAATCTATGGTTTGCATAACCCCATTAGCATTAATTTATGGAAGCAATAGACTAGTCATGTTTTGTTTATGTTAAGCATACATTAGGTTCTTTTTAATGTTTACATTCCAGATGAATTGATGTGCCTTTTCAAAGTACACTTCATTTTAGGATATAGGGAGATCTTGTAGCACCTTTGAGACTAACTGAAAGAAAGAAGTTGACAGTATGAGCTTTTGTAGGCTTGTCTGTTTCCTCAGATGCATTTAGTGGAGACCAATACATCTCCACCAAATGCATGTAAGGAAGTAGACGGAAGTCTAGGGAAGTTCACACTGCAACTTCTTTCTTTCAGTTAGTCTCAAAGGTGCTACAAGATCTTTCTGCATACTGATTTCACAGACTAGCACGGCTATATCTTTGAATTCATTTTAGGATATCAGCATTTAGACTTCATCTTTGTAAAATTTTGCTTTAGTTGTGTGGTTGTTATAGAAGTTGATAACAGTGTCTTATCTGTTTCTTTTTTCATGTAAGAGCCTTTGAAAAGGTATTTTTAGGTCTTAGTCTTCTCGCTACATGCGTATGGTAAGCTTATGATTCTAATATAATAGTGTTTTTAATATCATGACCAACAGCAAAAATCATTGTAGCATTACTTTTATATCTGAAAGGCTCCTAAAAGAATTTGTGACTTGGTGATTTCAAACATTACGTGCAGGGCTTGTTTTTAGAGCTTGATTATGTGCCAATTACTTATTTCCAGTCGCCCCTCCATTCTCATGGACTTGAGAGCCGCCGTTTTTAATATTCATAGAGGGGTGATCTCCGTTAAAATCAATGGGGTGTGCCTATGGGGCTTGAATATTAGCGAGTTTCCATTTTCAAAAATGGAGGGCTGGGTGTAATTGTTTAATATTTAGAATAGACTGTTATCTATCTTTCATATTGATTTGGGCTAAAATGTTGTATCTCACATTTACAATTTCTGATACATCTTTCTAATTTATCCTACCCATCTAATCCCAACTTCTCATTAGCTGAATATGAATACAAATACAAATTTATGTATTATATGGCTCATTTTTGAGTGGTCTATGCATGTGCACGGTCTGACTGTCCTAGTAACCTTAAAAGTTCTAACAGAGTTCCCAAAGCCATAACTGAAAGACTATGAAAATTGTGAACACCAATAGACTGCTCTTCAGATTATAGCAATAGCAAGTACATTTCTATACCGCTTATCAGTGAACTGGCACTCCTTAAGTAGTTTACAGTGTATAAGCCAATTTCCCCCAACAAGCTGGGTACTCATTTTAGCAACCTATCAAAGGATGAGTGGACCCTGGAGCCCTCCTCTAGGATTAAATTTATAACCTTGTGGCTGCAGTCCAGGCATTTAGCCACTGAACCACTAGTGCTCCTTTTGGATGTTCATTGATACTTTAAAAAAATACTTTAACATTCAAATCTACCGGTATGTTTTATCCCACTTATTAAAGAGAGAGGATGTTTTCAGTTTAGTTGGTAAAATGACAGAAAAACAAGGAGGAGTGGCAGTTCTCTGTTCAGCCTAGCTTGCATTCTCAGAATCTACTCCAGAGCAGACCAGAGGGAGGGTGCTGAGGAGTGGAAGGTCCCATTATGCAAGTGCAAATCTTTGTCTGCAGTGTTGAAGTTCACACAAAGTAAGTTGAAAAACTGACTTCTGTTAACATCTGCTCAGGCAGTAAGTGTGGCATACGCTGATCAAAGAAAAATGCCAGGCAAACTTTTAAAGGTAGTAGGAAATAACATTGACTGAAAAATAAATAGCTCTGTTTTGTCCTTAGCAAAGTAAAAATATTTCTGCAATGATCAGTGATCTAATTACCTCCTTAAAGACCTTTACTGCTGTTTCTCAATTTTTATGCCATTCTGTTGTGGTTTTGTATGTATCCATATAAGTGGTACTTTGCACTAAATGCTTGATGTTTGATTCTTAAGACAATATTTTTGTTAAGACTAATAATAATAATATTTATTTATTTATTTATTTATTTATACCCCACCCCTTTGAGGTCAATCGGGGCAGCTTACAGTGTTAAAAACCAATACATCAACAACCCACATCCCTCCCCTCCTTAAAAAGTTATTAAATTAGCTACAATATAAACAATAATTTAAAAAACATCAATAAACATGATAACACATAAGGAATTGCGGCCACATTACAATTCCTTTCAAAAGAGGGCATAAGAGGCTCCCCTAAGAGAGGGGAACTCCAAAGAAAAACTCCAGAGGAAAGACTCCAGAGAAAAGGCTCCAGAGGCCGGGATTATCTATCCTGGAAAGGCCTGCTGGAAGAAATGTTGATAAATGGTACATGAACTAATGGCCATGTTAATAATACAGCAGAAGCAAAAAAACAAAACCTATCATGTAAGCGTTAACAAAACTTAGAATTCTAAAGAATGTTACCTGTCTATATTTGTCATTTCTATATTTGTCATTTCTTTTTAAAGATTAGCTTTGATCATGCTGCACTGGCTATCAAAAGATGATATAATGATCACCTTTACTTTGCACAGTAGGTGCTGCTGTTAAAAATGCATTATTTTATTGTCTGGAGAGAATGTATTCTTCCAGGTTTGAAAATTATTTTTCTTTTAGAGAGTATCGGTATTTCTCTTTCCCAATTCCTTTATAATTATGCTTCTAAATTTACTTTGAAGGATTTGTATTATGAATCTTTATGCCATTTGTATGTTGTAGTAAATAAAATGTTAAAAAGTGTGGAAGTAACTCTATACAAATATTTTAGCAAGATGTTGCAGTATAATTACATTAGCTGACATCATTTTAAAACTGCCAGACTTCTTATTACTGACACTGGAAGGTGGAGCTGGAGGGAGAAGGGGGCATTGGAAATGTCCTATACAGGTGTTTATAAAAGGAGGCATAATAGCAGTTCTGTTGGAAAGTATGGCATGATGAGGTTTAATTACAATAGTTGAAACACTGTTCTTGTGTATCCACCATAAAGACTACTGAAATGTAAAATCAAAGTGCTTTACCAAAATTACTTGATACACTGGTCAAGTAAAGTGAGCCATTGGTTTAACAAAATAGGCACTTTTTAGTAGGGGTTGTTTGTTTGTTTTTTGTAATGCAGAATTGTAGTTGGTGGTTAAGAGATAAAAAATGGAGCCATGGAAGATTTTTTAAAAAAGAAATTAATATTTTCATATTGAACTCACTGAACTGCTTTAGTAAAGTAAAATGCTTAATTCATAAGTCAGTTTACATATAAAATTGTACTATTTGGAATATCTATAGAATGTAAAATATAAACACCTCCCCCCCCCCCCGCTTGCATCATTGTGAATATTTGAATGAAATTTATTACAGTTGATGACCAGTACAAAAAGAGCAAAAGCAAAAAACACCAAGGAAATACAGCAAACATTAACACATACAAGGTTATCACATACTGGGAGGGATAGTACGGTATTATACATCAAATTTTTATCAAAAAATCAAAATCTGGATAGATTTAGAAACTGCATTGTAAAAAACCATTCAAACAATGCACATGTTAAAATTTAGAGCACTATCTTACGACGGCAAGCTATTGCTCCAATGCAAAAACTTACCACCTTGGCTGTAATTTCTGACCACTGATCAGCCAGAAGGTAATCAATATAAAATGTGTCAATTTTTCCTGCTATTTTTCGTAAAATTGGGGCTATAAAACAGCGCTCGAGATCACTGTAAAAGGTACAAAACAATAAAACATGCCCTACTGTTTCTACCTCCCCAGACCCACAAGGACATAGGAGTTCACAGAGTGGTTTATTATTATATCTTCCCTCGAGTAAAGCCAATGGAAGTACATTAAATTTAGCCAGAGTAAAGGCTTTCCTATACTCTGGATTTGTTAATAAAAATATGCTGCAAGGACAAAGCCTCCCTCGCTATCTTTAAATGTTGAATGTAGGGAGGCTGCACTTATATGATTTTGCAACTCAGTGTCCCAGATGCGCTGACGAATATTCCCTTTGGCTTTTGCATATCCCATAGCAAGAATAACTGATTGTGAAAAGCCCAGGGATTGCACTTTTTCCTCTACTATCATTTTCCATCTTGACTTGAATATATCACTGAGAGTTAAAGGAGCTAGACATTTGGGGGTAAATAACATTTTTAGCCAAGAATAGTTCTCAGAAATTTTGTTTGAACAAATTCCAAGGATTTAATATTTTGGAACACACACACTTGTGCTCCAAATAACATTTGTGGGAGGATCATCTCTTTGAACACCTGAATAGCTGAGGGAACATGCTGGCTTCATTTACTCTAAAAGAAGGAAATAAGTGAATTGTAACTCCATTGTATATTTGCAATTGCATAGGAGATTCGGCCTCTCCAAGAACCAGTGGATTGAAAGATCACTCCCAAGTATTTGTAAGATTTAACCTGTTCAAGTGGGTGACCGTTCACTTGCCAAAGATGTTTACATTTTTTCCGAGTCAAAACTAAGACTTAGGATTTGTCATAATTAATTGTTAATTGTCCAGTATTACAGTATGTTCCCAGAGTTCTTAACAGGCATCTCAGACCTAAACAGGTTAAAGACAGAAGTACTGCATCATCTGCATATAGGAGTGTGCATATAGGTCTCCCTGTCAATTTGGGTGGGTGAAAGTTCTCTCCAGAAAGCAACCTAACCAGTGAATCAATGTAGATATTAAACAGGGTAGGGGCCAAAACACAACCTTGTTTGACCCCTAAATATGTGGGTATCACACCTGTTAAATGCCCTTCTTGGTTGC